CCTGTCGGCTTTGAGTTAAACCAAGATGATACCAAGTGGATAGTGGATAGCTGTTTAAAGTAAGCCATTTGAACTTTGCTTCTATTTATCCAGTTTGAGTTTGAGATGAAAGGAGCAGCGAAGGACAACCAGAATGATGCCAATGATGCAGATCTTGCAAATAGTGAGGATGAAGAGCTTAAGCAACTGCAGAATGAGTGTTACCAAGCTCTTCTACAAACAGTTAAGGAACTTGCAGCAGCCAAAGGTGTCAATTACACTAATATTATCAACATGGTGGCTTTAAGGTATGGTGATACTGTTACACATAAGGATATGGTATCAAGGATATCAGTGGGCTTAGTTTTGATATTTCATTGCTAATACCAATATAACCATTGATAGAATACTTGCTTTGATTCAAATAATTTGAAAGTATGCAAGGTTTCACATCCTCTCCTGTCTTGACTTAAATATGCACATTACAAAAAATATTATTTTCCCTTTTTTTCCCCTAGATTGATGTCAAAGTCTCTTCCTGAGAGCGAGGAAGAGATGCTCAGAATACCTCACGTAACTAAAGCAAACTATGACAAATATGGTCAGTCTTTGCTTGATGTCACACAGCGTTTTGCTGCTCAAAAATTAGGTGGGTTTGATTATTTTTTGGGTTAAGATTTAGTTAGAATGTTCTTTACTTGTATGTCAGAATCTTTAAATTCCTATATGTATTTTGTAGTAAATTTGGAAATATCATTCAGTTAGAGCTAATTGCATTTTGATTAATGTACCTTAGTTTTTATGATTATATTATTATGAATATAAATCTTTTAGGTTTATTATTATACTTGTTAGGATGGTGGTAATTTTTATTGCTATAATTATTATGAGAAGTAGTATTATTGTTATTGCTAATATTATGTCTCTGTCTATCGGTATATCTATTGATACATATACCATTGTCAAGTCATTAGTAATTCTGTATTTTTATTATTCTTTCTTTCAACAGTAATTCTGAGTGATAGAGCTGATGCAGAATTCGACGAATCGGGTTTCAATGATGGGGATGGAGACACAACCGGATGGCTCAGTTCTGTTTCTGCTCCGGAGCCCTCGTCGAGTTCCTCCCCGTATTTTGGAAGAGGAAGCCTGACTCGTAAATTTGGCAGAGGGTAAGTCTCACTGCTATTTTTTTCTTTTTTTCTTTTTCTTCTTCTTCTTCTTACAGACTTACAAATAAATTCTATATGTGAATTAAACATGAAAAGAAAAGAAAAGAAAAGAAATCTAATTGCAGGGTAAAACGGAAAAGGAAGTACACTGGGGGAGCAAAGCGTGGAAAGTACACAAAGGCCAGCTCAGGAGACTCCACCTACAGTCCCACCAAGACAACTCGCTCAAGAGGCACAGGCTCAAGAGGCACAAGCTCTCGTGCAGGATCTTCAGCAGGACGGGGACAGACCAGAGGATCTAGGGGAGCAGGAGCGAGAACGGCAGCCTCAGCAGGAGCTGGAAGAGGTCAAGCAGCTAGCAAGCTTGGCCTTCTAAACATTCCAACACCACGGTCCTTCATGCCACAGCCTAGGGTTGTGCAGCTTTGAGCATGGTGTAATAAGAGTCTGTTCATCAGAAGCTGAGCATTGAACATTTGTAAGATATAGGTCATCTGTCATACATTTTACTTAATTTCTTAATTTTCTTTCAAACTAGAAGTGCCTGATGTTCATTTCTGTAGAATTGTAAATCTTTATATAACAAAAAAAAAAAAAAGAAAAGAGAAAAAAATAATAATAAAAATAAATTTCCAAATTTTATATGCTTTTACGGAACATGACTATCTTTACCAGATTTGAGTCATAAGTAAAGGGCACTTTGCTTATATCGAACCATATTGATATTATATATTTCTACTTTTTAAATGTGGTAAAGTTTCAATGGAAAACATATTTCTGTCCTCCAAGGAGTCTTGTTTTAGGCTTAAGTCATCCTGTTTACCTGAAGAATAATTATATAAGAGTCTTTGCATTCCATTTATTCATTGTTTTAATTCCACTTTATTAAAACTTTTGTTAGTATTTCAGCTACCTCAAAGACAATGTTATTCAGTATATCCAAGTGAGTATTTCTCCTGTTTTGATACATTATTTATTTCATAGTCTTAAAGAAACAATCTGTATGTTTCCTACTCACACTCTGTTATATGAATTAGAAATGTATAATTCATTTTTCAGGATACAAATGGGACCATGTCTTAATCCATAAGGTTTATCAAAACCATCTTAACAGGAATATATATAGATATATATATTTATTTTACATTTCATAAACATTTTCAACAACATTAAATATGTGAATCTTTGCTATTGTGTCTTTATCTAACGTGGACAAATAAACCTACAATGTGTACATAAATAAATAAATAAAATGTTATTTATTTATTTATATATAATTATATATATTTATACATATATATATTTATGGAAATATCAGAACAATACAAACTGCAGCCCCCAAAATCTCCTTACAAAATACAAAATAGAATACTGAAAATAGTAACAAAAGATAACATACAATTTCTATCATTTAGACTCACAAACAAACAAAATTGTGCAGCTATTTAAGTCTGTCAAAGTATTTTTTTATTCTAGAAAATGCTTCAATATATCTTTTCTCGTCATACTGATCTGGCAGGGATTTTACACAAGAGCAAGGCAGGGAACCAATGTTAGGACTCCTTGCTGCTGCCAACACTGGTAAGGGCAAGGAAGGCTTCGAGCTAGAATCTATCCTCCTGAAAAAGAAAAGAAAAGAAAAGAAAAGAAAAGAAAAGAAAAGAAAAGAAAAGAAAAGGAAAGAAAAAGAAGAAGAAGAAGAAGAAAAAAAAACTCAACTGGAAAAAAAAAAGGTTTAATTCTATGTGTAAACGGATTTCTGAATGCTCATTTTTATGACTAATTACAAAAGAATTCCATTTGTAATGTTATGCCGGTTACTTTAAATAGTAGTACATTTGGTACATGGTACATTTTCTTGAGGAGTTGATGCAACAGCTGAAACAATTTTGCTACTAGGGTTTTCAATGGTATTCAAACATCAAAACCAATGTCAATGTTGCTGTAGTTTCTTTACAGTATCACAGCACATATGATTTTATCTAAAATAAAATTTCAAAATTTCTGAGACTTGATAAATAAAATGTACTGAAACAAAGCAACCACTCAAACCATCAAAGAGACAAAGATATTTCAATAGGACTTTTACCAAATGCTATATATATACTCAAGTGCAAATGACAAAAGTTGAAATGTATATGGTACATAAGAGATATTTTCACTAATTTAACATACATTTCTTAAAGTCAAACACTTTTACAAATATTGAGGCTCATAAGTGTTTATTAATTTATCATATTCATGCTGATTACTTCAACCTAAGACTACAAATAAGTAAATTGGCAATTTCAAATAACTTTCAAAATACATCAGTATTACTATAGTATTGTATGATCTTTATCATTCAGTTTCCCAGAATTAAACAATTGAAAACTATGGTCATTAGCAATCTACTAACCAGATATCTATGACATGGAGAATTGACTCATGGATTATGGGAACCTAAAAGAGTATGAAGAAATTTAATTAATCAAAATCAAATACATTCACAACTGGACCTTTTATAAAAATGTTATATTTTAGAACTTCCTCAATTGCAATTGTTGTTATTTTGACTCCTAGAATTTTCCTCTGACAGCTTCCAATAAACTGCAGATAATAGGCACTTTTACAAAGAACTGGGTAAAAGAAATTTCATGCTTTTCTCTTCTTTTTTTTTTCTTGGCAATTTCATTTCATTGCCAGGTATATTACCTTTTAGATACACACACACAATATGGTTTTCATTCCATAAAATCAAGATCTAGTTACAATATGGATGTGTAAGGAGACAGTCTCAATGCAAGATCAGGCACACAATATCGGTATTCACTATGATGAATTTCTCAATAAATGTATAATTACCTGCATGAACCACAGACAATAAAAATTAAATGGAAACTTTGTGGACATCACACTTTGAAAGGTAAATTTTTGCATTTGCCAAATTATACACAATGAATATATGCACAAAAAGTAAACAGTGTACATTAGCACCTTTCAGTCCCCCCCCCCCCCCCCATCTCAGAACAGTGGCAGGTCTCTTATTCTGTTCTAGTGAAAATACACAACATACGGTAGGCTAGCATTCTATAATGGCACAGGTATTAATTTGGGTAATTCTTCACCCAGGTCTTAGAAAACCTAATTGTACACTTACTGTTACTCTCAATTTTAACTTTTAGAGGTACCTAATTTGTTAAAATATCATGCATTTAAAAATTGTTTTTCAAAAACAAAGATTCGATACCAGATGACATTCTAATTACTATGATTGGCATTTCATATTTTTGGTTCTTTCTCCTGTGTGATAAAAGACATACAGCATTTGGTTTACAGAGTTCAAAGTTGTATACAAAACATCCTGCACAATGAAGTTAAAGTTGGGTGCCTTCAGCATTCATTGTAATATAGCTACATAAAGATAGAGAATTTTAAGTAAGTCTTCTTTCTGATGTTCTAATGCTTTTGAGTATGGCCAGATTTCTTGACAATGTAGTGTTGGAGTTAAATTGATGTGAGAATACTAATGGCATATTTGTCATAACTGCAACTAACTGAAAATGGTCACTCAATTTATGATTTAAAGTTAGAGGATTTTGAAAATGGCACATCTTGTGGATAAAATAAAAGGGTAAACTAGTAATCAAATTCTGCCCATTTAACTTTTCTACCAACTCATGGTACTGGAAGGAGTTATATTCTTTCTTTTTAAAATGAACCTGAAAATTATTAACCTCTATTTGTTTACCATCTTACAAAAATGAGAGAGAACTAAAATTAACTATAGTAAAATAAAGGATAGATGTGTAAAAAAGGCACTGGTCTCTCAGCATCTTTACTAATTATTCTAATAACTTTCTTAATAAAAAAAAAAAAAAAAAAGTGCAAGACTTACCACACTTATCATTTATAAGGCATGGGGGTATGCTGCATGTTATATCACTCGGTCCATTTTTATATGTCTTAATATTAACTAAACTTTATGGATCACATAACTGAACAATGAGGTTCCACAGTGTCTCACAAAGGAGCTACAGACATTTCCATGAAGCATTTTCATTACAAATAAGATACAAGGCGATCTGTGCTTACATACAATGACAACTAGGACACTTTTCTAATCCTAAAAATAATATTTAGACAATGTGTGTTCATCCAAAAACAAAATTTTGTTAAACATTGACATCAGAACTAAAGGTTTTTTGGTTTGACAAAATAAAGTGTGCATAATGGCTTCAAGGTATATTTGTACTTAGGATATGAATTATCATTTCTTTGAGCTGAACTCTTAGAAAAAAAAAAAAGAAAGAAAAAAAATCTTGGAAAGCCATAAACAAAATACTAAATATCAGGTTTGGTCAAACGGTAGACTGGATCTCAAGTACTAACACGTATGGTACTGCCGACATAAAACCATCTACCACTAGCGTCATCAAAAACCACTGAAGCAGAAACATCCAGTCTCAGAAATAGTGCTACAGCATATTCTTTGGATTGTCTTATTCTCTTCCCTTTAACCTCATTTAATAAAAACTGCCTGATGTTCATTCAGGTACAATCCTTTGCTTATTGTATGTTTCGAAAGAACATATTTGCTAGTTAACCCATTGGTTTTGCTTTATATATCAAATTTGTTTACACATACATAACTTCCCAAGCACTTAGTTACCAAATTGTCAATTACTGGGCCCATCTCATCATAACTGTTCACCCCAAACTTTGCATTTACTTTTATTACCGATACTAACACTACTGACATTTTAAATTTTACTCATATTCTCATGATGCTACTAACAATAAAAAAGCCACAAAACTAACTTTCTTTCCAAAAATTCAAGAAATGAGGGTAATTAGGTGAGATCACGTAATCCTGCTTAATTGTCCTTTTGGTGACTCGGTGCTTCTGGAGCCATTTGTAAGTAGACATAATTAATAGACCAAAACCACAGTGGACAGTGCATGTATGTATGCACTGGTAGTCTTAATGGGTTGAAATCCTCATAGGTCAGATTATAAATATATATATCACTTGGCACAAATTAGCAGTGAATAAGCTTTAGACTTTACAAAATAGGGTATATGCATTACAGAGAAAAAAAAAGTTTTATAAAAAAAAAAATCAAGCAAAGTATCACTTTTACATGATGCTAAATTCTCAAACACACTGGTTCTAATACATTTTAGAAAACCCAAGTACTGACACAAAAGCACTTCTGACATTTAAATAATTACAACAAAAAAGCTCTCCTGGTGCTGCCATTATATAATTTTTATAAGTTTACTTAAGAAAACAGTACATGTACAGACACAAAGAGATTCCTTCAGCACAAAACAAAACAAATATCAAACACTAGTTTAACATTATCATGCCACAACAACCTCTGACCATTGTATATATTTTTTCTTAATATTCATCAAGCAGAGTGTATCTGGGACAGTGACTGTAATTTATAACTGTGCTGAAATCTATTTTTTTCCATAAAATTATAAATGGTTTAAAACCAATTGCTATGACTCTTCTTTGGTTTAATTTAAAAGAAATTTCTTATAACCTTTTTCCTGTTGATATGTAAGTACCAATTTGACAAAATCTACAACAGAATAAAATAAATAGCTACTGCATTCACCTACCAATATACAATAACTACACATTTCATGCTAAATAACTCTTCAGAAAACCCAACGATTCTAAACACACAAGCACTTTAACTGCAACATTAACACTAAAATAGACTGCAATATGTTAATAATATATCTGGTTTTGTACACATCCCAAGAATATAAGAATAGATCACCTACATTTCCTAGTTTATTTCTGTGACTTTACAAATGACTGGTCCTTCAATAAGATGGTAAATATTTGAGATGGAAAGAAAATCATTCTATGCACAAGTAACAACAATAACAACAACACCAAAAGAAGATAGTTGCCTACTAATCTAAGTACTGGGTTGTTTATATATCTATTTATTAATTGCACTCACTTCCTGAATAACAGCCACTTCTGAAAGAACAATTGAGGACTTGTGTAACTGGCTGTACATTTTGGACGGACTCAGTCTTAACACCAAGTAGATGTAACTTTTTAAAATAATCATCAAAAAAATAAATATCAGTGTTAATAATTATAATATACATAGATTGATATGATGACAATGATAATTACTTGCCTTTAACATTCTGCATAAATCAAATCTCATCTAAATGCATACATCTATTATTTTTCATAAGCCTAAAATCTATTCATCTTCTCCCTAAAAATATTTGTACATATTGCACGGTGAACAGATGAAGAAGGTTGATCACATAAATAATTGTGGTACACTCTAGGAAGCACAAGTGACCAGGTAGACTGTCACACCCAATCAAGCAGGAAGTTTCTTCTGCAATGCATTACTTTTTAAATTATCAACACTGTGGGACAGCAACATGTGGGTGCTGGAAGCTTCAGGGTCTTCGCTGCAATGGAACAGTACCTGGTGAGTGGAGAGGTCTATTGCAGATGAAAACTGTAGGTGGCACACTTGGCATTCGTAACAATCTTCCTCGTGTTCCACTTTGCAAATGTCTTCCTCGCATTCTATTTTACAGACTACACTATTATCACATTCAACTTTGCAGACTGGATCCTGTATATTGGAGCAATTTGTCTGTGGACATTGGAGGATTACACTTTGGATCAAACTTTTGTCATCTTTTGTGTCTTTGTGAGTGTCAACATCAATCTTCAACTCCTCATCTGTGTTTCCACCCACCAACATTTCACGTAAAATATCTGTAACACTTGAACTCTCTTGCTCTCTTTCTGAAATGCTCTCAGAGTGATTGGCTTCTGCTAATATCTTGAAATTTTGGAGCATGCGGCTGAACAAAAAGTTTGTTTCTACCTTCGGCATATCACAGTCATTCTCTGTTTTGATTTCTTCACCGGCTGGCTTTAATAGGTATTCCTTCAGAAGGCTCTGTTGTTCACTGGCATTAGACTCCAACAGCATCTGACTCCCACTAGCATCACTTTCTTGGGTTTTGCCTGCAACCATCAATGACCCCTTATTTCCCCTTTTGGAGTTCCTTTCCCCATTTTTGGTTTCTTCCGCTGCAGCCACTTTATGCTGGAGCTGACACTTTTTACTTTTACTGCCTGGGATTTTTCTGCTTTTCACTTTCAATTCATTTATCTTTCCCTGGTCTTTAGGTACACCTGCTCTCTCTTCATTCTTCACTTTTAAATTTCTGGCAGATATCTTCTCAAGGCAACTACTTAATTTATTCTGATCTTTGCCAATAATCAGCTGAAGGAGCCTTGAAGGAGCAACTGGCTCTGATGTAACTTTACCATCTAATTCCTTAACACAAACCGATTCTTCATTTAGTGTGGAAATATTCTCTCTTTTTGAAGAAGAGGGCTTACTTTGTGACCTCTTTTTTCTTCTCTCTGACTTTCGCCTTTTTTGTATTGGTAATCCATTGGCTGCTTTCTTTCTTGATCGACTTGGCTTCCACTCTAAATCATCTGCTTCGCTGTGTGAAGACTCGGTTGTTGACTGTTCTACAGTCATGTGATGATTATCACCATCATTCTGAAGAGATTCTCCAACTATACAATTTTCCTTTTGCTGAATAGAAAGAGATATTCTATGTAAAAGTGCAGAAGAATGCAATTCCTTCAAAGGCAAGTCTTCAGCATGTGGCTCTGTCATGGATTTTTGCAAGATTTTGCCTATACCATTTAAATCACCGGTTCTCTTATTGCTGCTCTCTCTCCAATTCCTTTTAGAGTTACAATTTTTATATTGCATGAATAATGCAAGAAGGATTGTGCTGAAGGGTGTTTCAAAGTCATTGGTGTTTGCATGACTATGTTTTGAGGTCTTTGATTTAATTCCTGTTTTATAGTTAAGAGTCTTCATTAACTCAAAAACTCCTAGCTCTTGGCAGTCACGCTCTGGCCTCATGGACGGAATGTTGTTGCTATCAGCTTGAGCATTGAGATATAATTCCTTCAAGAGAGCAGCATATGGGTAGTGGACTTCCAGGTGTTGAAGCTGGTCGAAGAGTCTTGGAGGCAAGGGTTCTGGTTCTGGGTCCTGAATGGTGCCTACTCGGTCACAGAGGTTTTTCAAGCATGTTGCATAAGGACAGACGACAGCTAAGTCTGAATCTGTGTATGATCTTGTGAGAGGAGGAGGAGGAGGAGGAGGCTTCTGAGTAGCTCTGAATTTCTTCCGGTTATTCTTTGCTTTCGTCTCTTTTGTTGTATCCTTGACCTTTTCTGCGCTTACTCCCCAGCATTTTTTACTTCTGATCTTCCTCTCCTTTGGGAGTTTCCGCTTGCTTATTCTCATCTCATCATTATTCTCCGGTTTGTACTCTGTCTCTACAAAATCCATCACATTGAGCTCAGCTTCATCTTCCTGCAACATCTCGCACTCTGGCAACCTGCCGGGATCCCAGTCCCTTGGAATCACATGCATTTTTCCTCGGTGCATCTCTAGGGTCATTGAGAATCAGGAGAAGAAACTTGTAAAGGGAAGTCATGGAATCGCCAGCCAGAGAAGCTCGTTATAATTAACATACTGCTAAATTTTGAAGGCCTAACCATCATCCCTGACAACTTCAGAAAGAGGTACATGGATCAAGACTCATTTGTCCCTTCTTCCACTGATGTGATTACCATGCAGGATGAAGATGGGGCTTTCTTTTGAACCAAACATTGTGCCCTGTGAAAAAAAAGGGGAAAATGTTCATAACAATGAAAGGTATTATGAGATAGGTCATCTCTGTATTCAGTAATAAGTCTACTTAGATGGTGCTGCATGTATTACTAAGATAATCATAAAAAATTGTCTAGGTATCTTTGATCAATCAATCATTTGCAGTTTACTTAACACTTTATCACATTTGGAAGACTTAATTGAGATGATTGGAATGATGATGATGATGATAACAACCACAGACAATAACAACTATACCCATAATAATGATGATGATAATGATGATAATAATGATGATGATGATGATACTACTACTACTACTACTACTACTACTACTACTACTACTACTACTAATAAAAACAACAATAACAATAATAATTATAATAATAGCAAGAGGAACAGTACTACTACTACTAATAATAATCATAACAGCAGCAATAATAATAATAATAATAATAATAATAATAATAATAATAACAATAATAATAATAATAATAATATTAACAATAATGATAATGAATGAGAGGGAAACTGAAAGAGAAAATGAAAGGGAAAGGGGAACAGGAAAGGGAAACTGACAC